AGTATTTCCCAAACTATGTGCCTGGGAACACGAGTTCCAGGAAATGCTAATCTGTACTCAAAAAGGAATAAAGGTTCTGTGGTGCTGATTCATAGCACATATTAGCATATTAAAGGCTGTGAGGAGTCACACAGCTTAAAAATAAATAAAAGATTTCAGGCCTTTATTTATTGGTCCTACTTAATGAGATAGGGGAAGACTTTTTCACCATGTGTGTATATATTAACACTTCCCCTGCTCCCAGAGAATAAAATGTAAATGAAGTCTAACATTTATGGAGTTTTACTTACTCTTTTGTTGAAACTCTCAGCACTAAAATAAAGTATGTATACCAGGTCCATAGCACCACCATGCCAGATTATTTTTGTAATACCAAGCAATACTGAAACTCTCTACAGTGTGCTCATTTATTTGAAATGACACACTAATTTTGACATTACCTATTTTGTGCCCACCTACCTTTCAAATTGTCGTTACTTATGGATCTTATGGTTGTATATATTTTATTTTATTAATTAATTAATATTTTTGATACAGAGTCTCCCTATGTTGCCCTCAGTAGAGTGCGGTGATGTCACAGCTCACAGCAACCTCAAACTCTTGAGCTTAAGCAATTCTCTTGCCTCAGCCTCCCAAGTAGCTGGGACTACAGGTGCCTGCTACAATGCCTGGCTACTTTTTGTTGTTGTTGTTGTTGTTGCAGTTGCCATTGTTGTTTAGCTGCCCCAGGCCAGGTTCAAATCCAACATCCTCAGTGTATGCGGCTGGCACCTTAACCACTGTGCTATGGGCACTGAATCATTATTTATTTATTTTTGAAGTTTATAAATCTTTTATTCTTTTTTTAAAGTAAATTTATTTTAGGTTAATGTGGGGGTACAAGCCACCATGTCAAAATATTTGATTTAGTTAAGTAGAGTTCATCTGGTGGTTATGTCCCACACACAAAAGGTGTGCCACCTCCCCTCCTCAACCCCTGACAGTGTATACATTTTATTTTGTTAATGAGTTCTGTTCAGCACTCCACAAGCTCACCTGAGCAAGGGAGAACATTCAGAGAGTATCCATCATGTCAACATTATCAAGACTCTGTTCTTCTCTTTAGACTTTTTATTAATGGAGTATTTACTAAGCACTGCTCCCTGCTTAGAGCCAGGACCTCTGTTATACATGGAAAGTACCAGGGAGAACAGACAGAATGAGCTTATGAAGCATTACATGGATTCCAATATAGTTAGGCAAAAGCACGTGAACAAACTCAATAATCAAATACTGAGACAGGGTTTTAAAATAGGAGGGAGGAGCTGAGACATAAGGAAAGAGGGTGCTTCCTGCTGGAGGTGAAGTGGTCAGCAAGGAGGTAAGGACACTTAAACTGAGATATTACAATGACAAGGAGCTGGCTAAGACAAGACAGTAAGGAAAGATGCTTGTTCCAGGAGGAAAGAAAGGCAAGACTAATGGCTTAGTGGTAGGAAACAACTTCCTAAAGAACTGAAAATGGGTCACATGGTCGATCCATAGTGTCTGATGGCCACAAGAGGCAGGAGTCCGCGTGTGCACAAATCACTCAGATTTTATGAGGCCACCTGGGGACTTTAACTGAGAGAGCAACATGATCAAATTCATGTTTCAAAGAATTTCCCCCAGAGTGGAACGCACTCCCAAATGTTAAAAGTTTTGTTAAGAGAAGAGTGGGCATTTAAAAATAGTTCTACTACCTGAAAAATACAGATTACATATTTATTCTTCTCCCCTTATAGTATCTGTCAGTTCTGTGAACCGCTGGGCCTGGATGAAGGGCCATTCCAGTCTGGGTTGTCTCCACATCCAGGACCTGTGTACCTTTATGTTTTAGGGAACGCCCAGGGGTTGGGGTGTCTGGGAAGATGTTTAGGGCAGTCCTGGAGCTTGTTTTGGGGGGGGAACCTATCCCTTACCCCCATCTCCTTCTTCCTGGCTAGTAAACCTTCATAGGATCTCCACTCTAGCCAATTTTGAGCTTAGCAGCTCACAAAAAAATCTCTGTTAAAGTATTAATCGGTCATTACGATGTTAAAAGATCCCCTGAAGTGTGATCTCTATCAAAAGCACTTATATTTTGAAAGGTAATTCTTTCGGAATTATCTGAATGGACAATAAACTCCACAAGAACAGTAACTTGGTTTGTATAAAAATATTTTTAAGATTTACTTAAATTCTCAAAATTAAGAATTTCAGCCTTAAAAAACCAAAAAACCCCAAACAAAAAAGAATTTCATCTTTATTTAAATAATTTTAATTTTAATGTTGATAGTCAATTAGAATTTGTATTTTATCTTTTAATTTCAATAAATGATTTTGAGTACTTTATTTTTTTTCCCTTTAATGTTGTATTTGGGAAGAGAAAATTAAAATTCAGAACAAAGAGAAGGTGGGGAGTTTTATAAAAAGGGGAAATGTTAGCTATTGCTCTTCCAGAAGGTCCACTGGCACTGGTAAGGGTTCGGAGTGCTGGCAAGTTCCACCGGTAGCAGCAGCGGTGGGTGACCATCCTGGACTGGAGCAGGTCATCTCAAGGCTGAGAATCTTCTTCAGCTGGGTAACCAGTAATTGATAATTTTCATTGAATTGGTACCAAGGCATGAATTGCATTCCCGAATTATACACCAACTTGGCCCAACATGATGTGCACTTTGGCCCCTTCCTGAAACACCCTGCGAAGGCCCTGCTGGATTTCTGGGCGATATATGTAGTAGAGGCAGGCAGCAAAGATGGTCAGGCTCACGTTTGGGTTACTGGTCAGAAAGCTAACCACGTGCCATGCACAGTGAGTGCAGAGACTCCAGGATATGTACCAAGTGACCTCATAGTGGTGGTCAGGGGGCATCTCCTTCCGGGACCAAGTCAGGGAGCCCACTTCTGCATGCGGAGAGGTCCTGGAAAATCTGGTTTCAGAAGACCCCCCCCACACACACCCCGTAGAAGGAGCCAGGTGAGTTGCTGTTCTCGTTTTCTTTCACCTCAAAGCACAGCCAGGTGTCCTTCTGACCACAGGGGACAGGTGTGTTGTTGAACTGCTTGTAGAATGTGTTTGGAGATATTCGCTCCATTGGGTCACTGAGAATCTCATTCAGCGGGGTGACCAGGAACTCATAATTTTTCTTCAGTCTGTTCCAATGTGTGACCCTACATGTCCCCAGTGGTCCACAAAGTTTTCCCAACAGTGTTGAAATTCTTTAGAGGACATGACGTACACCTGGGTCCCTTCCTCAATCATCCTGAGCAGCCCCTGGTGGTAATCCTGTCTCCAGAAGTAGTAAATGCGGGCAGTGTAGATGGTCAGGCTCACGTTTTCATGTGTGGCCAGAAAGGCGGCCACTTGCCACGCACAGTTGGCACAGGAACTCCAGGACATGTACCAGGCGATCTGGTAGAAATGGTGATGGGACAGTGTGGGCCTGACCCCGGTCAGGAAGCACAGTTCTGTGTGCCAAGGACAATATCGAGGGCCCTGATTTCGAAAGACCCCACTGTAGAAGGAGCCAGGTGAGTTGCTGCTGGTTGTTTTCACTTCAAAGCACAGCCAGGTATCACTGTGGCAAGAGAGGAAGGGTCTGTTGTTAAAGTGGCAGTAGAATGTTTTCAGATACATTTGCTCCATCGGGCCTCTGATCTGTGGAATCATCCTGCAGCCTTGTCCCTGCCCTCCTCTTTGTCTGGGGCAGTAAGGTTTCATTTTGTGGTTCCGTAGCCCTTCTATTTTGATTACTTTAGAAGGAAAATACCTTCTCTTCTTTTGAAAATTTATGAAAGTTTTTATACTTTTTCTTTTTTTGCATTTACTTTAATTTATAGATTTGATAAAAATATGTTTAAGTATATAAACTTTGAATATTATTTAATTTTTTCATCCTTTAAGAATGAGTATAATTTGTAACTGTGACAGAAATTGAAAATACAAAAGTAGAGTTTATAAAAGAAAAAAGGTAGAAAGAAAAAAAGGAAATCTTTAGAGCAGCAGTCTGTCCAAATTTTCAAAAACTACTAAAAAGAAAAGTGAGCAGGCTGCTGTCAGTTATAACATACATAAAGTTTATTAATAGGACTTTAAAAATTATTTTTAATGGCTGGACATGATGGCTCACACCTGAAATCCTAGCATTCTGGGAAGCTGAGCTGGGTGCATTGCTTGAGCTCAGGAGTTTGTGATCAGCTGGAGTAAGAGAGAGACCCTGTCTCTACTGAAAATAAAAAAAAAAAAAAACTCGCATTGAGGCTCATGCCTGTACTCCCAGGTACTTAGGAGGCTGAGGCAAGAGGATCACCTGAGCCCAAGAGTTTGAGGTTGCTGTGAGCTATGATGGCACTCCACCAATGGCAATAGAGTTGAGACTCTATCTCAAAAAATAAATAAATTTAAAAAAAATAAAATAAAACCAATTATTTAAGTAATAAATTATATGTAGTTTTAGCTGTTCAGTTTTATATATTTTGACAAACTGTATACCATGACCACAATCAAGATTTAGAATATTTCCATCAACCCCCAACTGTGCCCATTTGTAGTCTACCCCTCACCCTCCAGTTCCCAAATCTTGACAAACATTGATCTGATTTCTGTCCCTATAGTTTTGTCTTCTTCAAAATGTGATATAAGTAGAATCCATACAGTGTATAGTGATTCCCAGCTGACACCCTGCATTTAGCATAATCCTTTCCAGGGTCATCCAAGTTGTTGCTAGTATCAACTGGTCATTCCCTTCTTTTGCTGATATATTCCATTCTGTATTGCCATATATTCCATTGAATAAAGATACTACAATTTATTCCATTAAATAAAGGTACTGCAAACTTGTATCTATTTATCAGTTGATGGTCATTGCATTATTTCCAGTTCTGGGTGATTATGGATAACGTTGCTATAAGTCTTCTTGCCTAGGTCTTTGAAGAGTCATATGTTTACATTTCTTTGGGTAAATACCTAGGGCGAGACGTCTGGATCACATGGTAAATGTATCTTTAACTTTGGGGAACTGCCAGAGTTTCCCATGTGGATATCCTGTTCAGCACATCCACCAGCTGTGTCTGAGAGTTCCCTTTGTCTGTATCCTTACTAGTGCTTGGTATTGTAAGTTTTGAAATTTTTATTTTTAATTATTATTACTATTTTTTGCAGTTTTTGGCTCGGGGCTGGGTTTGAACCCGCCACCTCTGGTATATGGGGCTGGTGCCTACTCCTTTGAGCCACAGGCACTGCCCTGAAATTTTTATTTTTATTTTTGCCATTTTAATAGGTATCAAACTCCCTAATTGTTATTCAAAATAATAAGTTGAGCAAGAAAATTATTCTTTTTTTATTTTTTATTTTTTTAAAGAAAATTATTCTTAATAATAACACAGCTGAGATAGTCTGCATGAAATCCTACAACTTCATGCTACTAGTTAAAATGAGAAGAAATACGTAGACCTCCGTGAATATTCTTGCCCAGGGCCCACAAAAGAGAGTGGAGAGGCTACATCCCAGATAGCCCTTCTCTCTGCTCTGAAGTCTCCTCTTCAGGGAGGCATGCTCATTTTGGGGGGTCTGAGACCCTGTCTTGTGTGGTCAGCTACCACCTCACTCTGGAACTCTTTCTAGAAGAGAGACTTCAGGATTCAACCTGTCCTCTCCTCCTGCCCTGTGCCCTCCACACTAGGGATGAAAGAAGAGTCAGTGTGGCACCCTGTGAGGTTGACATGCCGTAGTCTAGGAAATAGGATCTACGTTTAGGAAGCTTTTTGTGTAAAGACCTGGCATGGTTCCATGGGCCGCTTGATGGAATGTCAGGTGACACTGAGAAGAGGCTGTCAGCAGGGAGAGCCTCTCGGATGTAGCAAATGATGGCACATTTATTTATCCCACTGCCAAGATCCTGGGGAGAGCTTCCAAGACATGAAGAGTTCAGTTTTAGGATCTCCTGAAATCCTCAGGTGTAGGACTGGGAAAGGCTGATCTATGACCAGCACTGGGAGCTCCCCCTAGTAGACGAGAGAGTGACAGGACATATTTAGTTATAGGCAAGGGGGTGACAGGAGATATTTAGTTAACCTTGAATGACTCTCATCTTTTTAGTAGCTTATAAAGAATACCACCAGTGAAAAGTGTATTTCCTCAAAAAATAAAAAAAAATAAATAAAAAATTTAGCAGATCAAAATTCTGCCTCTTTCTGACCACAAGAATGCATCCCCACAGGCGCTGTGGTGTTTTGTGATCCCCGAGCTGCAGACGGGGTATAATATTTCCTGATCTGACATTTGGAGAACCTTCAAATATTTAAGGGCATTCGTCTCTCCTGTTAGTTACCTCTTCCTCTGGGAATTGTAAAAACCTTGACAAATGTTAAACTTCCTTTTCAGATTTTCATTATTAAGGATAAGATTTTTCCCTCTCCCCACTTCTCACATCCATTACACTGCCAAGTCAACTTTTCCAAAAGACTGACTATATGTAAAATATTCACAGTCCATTAGGCTGTCGCCTATGTATTTTATATTCATTTAATATAACTTAGGGGCTGAACGTGCAGAGTTAGACAATCTGGGTTCAAATTATAACACAAAGACTTAGGCAGCTGTCACACTCTCTTAAAATTTGAACATGCTGCCAATCTGTTTCCTTCTTTACTTTTTAAAAAAAGTTCTTGACTATTGGTTATAACATTTTCATGTATACAATTAGATAAGAACTTTCAAAGATAAGCACATTTCCACAATTAGTTATGCAGTAATTTTTGGTGCATTTTATTATGATAAACTGCTATATAATCTTGGAGAAAATTTACCTTTAAGTACATTCTTTCTTTATTTTTTTTAAAAAAATTGAGGTCTAGCAAACATAAAGTATATTAATCTTCAGTGTATGGCTTGGTGAATTAATGTACCCACCATGTACTCATATTAATTATTGTTGCATTTTATTTTAAGAAAAATAAACATGCATTTAAACTTCAAGAAGTTGGTAGAATTTCAACATGTGAAGCACGCAATAGAATATTTCCCTTTGAATTACTTACAGATTACATAACTATATTTGAAAGTATTCATGTATTATCAGAAGTCCTATGGTAAACATTCTTTGTATGACTCATATTGTTACTTACATTTATTTTAATGATGTTAGCCTACATATATGTTGTGATGTTAGCCTTGATCTCCAGATAAATATATTATAAACGCTGACCAAACATTTCTCTTCATTTTTATGTGTTCCATCGTTCAAATACATGATCTACAGAGTCGTAAATGCTACTATAAAATTATTGTTGTATCAAATGACCCAACAGCTTATTTGACAATTGAAAAAAATATAAAGGATTGACTTTAGTCCACCTCTCCAAATAGTCTGTTGGTCAATAAAACCTGAAGAAAGTGATGATAAGGATTTCACCAAACAATGACCTGTGGGTAGATCTTATCATCCTGGGGCAAAAGGGGAGGCTGAGAAAATAAAAAATAGCCTGAATGGTAAAAATCTGTCCTGCCTTTCATCTGGTGGGAGTAAAAGATACAGTATCTCTTGCAGTAAGCTGGTTGCAGAGTTAACAGGAAACAATATTTCTTCTAAGGACATGCTTCAGTTACAAAGTGTCATAACTCCCTTCTCTCAGTAACTGCTGTTTTCTTACTCACTGAGAAACTTTGTTGCTTGAAGTAAGATTGTTTAAGAATAAAACAGCTTACTCTTGCTTGGAGAATCTAAGCCTCTTTGACCTAGGGAAGCAACCTTTATTACCAACCCAGTCGCAAGGCTTCAGATAAGAGCTGTCTGAATTCAACTTTCCCTGTCTATCTTAACTTTGGAATTTCTAAGGAAACCACCCTGCTTTCACTTTGTAGTCTAGATTTGGTGTTGATTTCTTTGAGTCTTTCAAAATACTACTTTAGTTAAATTTATTTAACTCTGTCCTTTCCCCAAATCCTGTAAAAAAGGGCATCTTTTCCTTTGTGTGGTGAGATGTCTTTCTGGTATGTAGTCTTCCCCGTGGATCAGTAAATCTGCTTGGTTGGACTACAGGCTTGTTCCCAGATGTCTTAAGCTGATGAGGCTAGGATGGTAGGTTTTATTATTCCTGCTTTTAAAGATAAGGAAACTGAGACTCAAAAAGGTTAAACAACATATGCAGAGGGTCATGTTAATATGTGGTCACAGAATTCAAACTAAGGTCTGAAGTGAACGAAGCCCAATCCCTCTCCATGGAACTACCTCTTGCCTCTTGGAGCTTCTCATAGCACCACCTCGTTTAACAACCAGACCCAGTGCGAAGCCACAGCAGCCTCCAGCGCAGCCTGGCTTCTCCTCATCATAGTCGGTGTCGATTCTAACACAAATTCCTGCAAATATGGTTTCATTTTCACGTACTCCTCTCCACCAGGAACCAAATGAATCATCCACTGCTTACTTCTGAGTTTTCTTTTTCTTCTTTAGCCACGCTAATCAGCAAAGATTTCTGACAACGTACTCTGGGTTTTCATAATTCCATGCCTGTTCTTGGGCTGTTTCCTGACCTTGGAATTCCTTGCCAGCAATTTTATGCCTATATTGAAGTAAAATGGCAAATGCGAGAGACAGATGGACCCCCACTTCAGTTCTAATTAAGCAATGGAAATTTATTAATAATTTGGTACGTCTGCAAACGGGCTGAGAC